GGGGGGTGAAAGTTCCTTCTTTTCTTCTTCACCCTCCTCGCGTCCCTGGTTCCCTGACTTTTGTTTGGCCAAAACTCTGCAGCCCCACTTGTTGCTCACTGCAGACGGCAACTGCAGAACTGACTCTTGAAGCAGACCGGCGCAGCGGAATCTTGTGGGGCGCTCGTCCTGACGCAGGTTGTCCTCGTATTCCACCCAGGCACCACCCAGCTATAGGTTCCAGGGATCACAAACACTAATGCGGTGGAGCAAGATACATTTTCTTCCTTAGAAAACCAAGCCAAACTGATGTACCACCAGGATCCACCGTACTAAGGTTTGTGATCCCTGGGACCTGTACCCTGCCCGCCCTGCCTGCATTTTCTCCGTTTGGGCCCGCCACAAACACGCTGCATGCTGCCACGAGCATGAGACTGTTCCCACGGGGCAGGAACAGACGAAACGATAGGCTTGCGCTTCTCACCGTGTCCTGATATTGATATCCTCCCTCGTCTAGCGTCACACGTAGCGCAACACGGCAGCGGCGAACCCGCCGAGTGCTGCAGAACTGCGGCCACCAAGGGGGGGAAACACCTCCCACCCTCCCAAAAGAGGACAAGAAGGGGGACGTCACATCGGCAGACCGATCGCCAGCTACAATGCTGCCGTTAAGGCCCGTTTGAGGCCTTTTTAGGTCGCCGCTGAGAAGCAGTGATCCCATCCCGGAGCCCACACCCGTCTTCGAGGCCCCAAGCACAAGCAGGTGTCCCCCAAGGTGGTATCGTGGGATCCATCCACCGGATGCTACCCTAGGTCGATTGCGATTGCCCGCACCAACAGCCTCTGACGCGGGCGCCTTTGTTTCTGCTTGGCCCTACCCGTTTCACAAACACTGCCTCTGTTTCCTAGAGACCCCCACGTTCGGGCTCGGGTTCTGCGTTGGAGACCGATGCTTTCGTGTCGCACTGTATTTTCTGGTCGAAGATATATTCCACCCTCTCCCAGCGTGCACACCCTTCCACCACGTTGTCTTTCTCTCTGCCTGTCCGTGAAAATTCGAGTTCGAGCCTGGACATCGCAATTAGAGCCTGGCTGTAGGCGCATTAGTTTGGCTTTTGTACCCTATTCTCGCCAAGGCACTTGCGGCATGCTCTTCCCGTTCTTTCAACAACACCATGCCTATTTTATCCCATTGCACCATCTTCTACATTATCACGCACCTAACTCTCATTACGTACGTACTAGTAAATAAGACAGCCGCCATGTCACTTCCATGGGCCAGGGCCCATGTGCATATCTGGATGACGAATCCGCCATCAAAGTGAAAATAGCAACATCAAGCGTTCGAGCTGAGCTGGGCCGAGCGTCAGGGGACCCGCGGAGCCCTGCCAGGGAGGCAAGGGGCAGGGGATGTGATATGCGTTTACACTCTGGCCAGCACCAACATTCCGGATTGGGGAACATCCTACGAAAGCGTACAGTGTGGCTTGCTGCCCTAATTTCGCAGATCTGGACGCATCCGAACGCCAGCGCCTAAGATTGGCGTCGCCCTTTTGATTGTCAGGCGTCAATAGTCTGTATGCGGCTACCCGAAGACAGAGGCTACGTCGACAAGGTACGAATTCCTACCGCAGGCTAGCTTCTAGGTTTGCGGGCGCTAGAAGCCCGCCTAGCCTGCATTTCTCGGTTCCCGATAAGGTAAAATTGGGATCTTCTCGGCTGCACCGTGATTTTTTTTCCTTTGAAGATGGTCCAAGCATCTGTCGGCCGGGCTTCCGACTACGACGGAAATCCCGATCCCTCAGATGTAAGTGTGTGTGTTATCCACGGGAGGTCGATAGAAGGCATGGATCGTTCATGTGATATCCTATCACCTTCCTATGTTGCCACGGAACCTTGTGCTGTGGATGCGATATGTATCTACCTACTTAGGTAGATAGTATCCCCATACATCATCTTGACAACAACAATCACAGCCAGCCGTCAGGCCGCAGACAACGTTTGTCTACACGCACATATCCCTGCGCAAGTACCTATCTCCTAGCTTCGTCGCCATCGGGTTCTCCGTTGATGATGTATCTGCCACGTATCTCCCTGCAGGTTAGCCGCTCCACCGATAACACACGGGATGCCGCCGCTCCTCCTAAGACGCGCAGCTCTTTATCGGCCCGCTACTAGTGAGATGATTGACAACCCCGTTACCGGTTACTCAACTTAAATGCGTTGGTGGACGTGTGTACTTATGTCTAACAACGTGAAGCCCGGATGCCAGGCCGTGGACTAAAGAAGGCGAGGCCCACTGCACACGGCATTTGCGATATCTATCATGGCACACCGCGTCTGAGACCGGCTTTGGTGGCGGATGCATCGTTCGGGCCGTCCACGTGGAGCCCTGGGATGCCGGACTGAGACAGGTGGCGGGATGCGTCTCGGAGACCGGAATGGGGTTCACGGCCAGGACGTGTCTGTCGAGGAGAGTATATTGTCCAAAAAAAAAAAAACCCCCATCCCCTATAATTGGACACTTGCGGAAACGAAAAGGCACATGACAGGAGCTTGAGGACCAAGATGGATGTTTGTCATGAGTATCCCGAGGCTAATTCTGAACAATTGGTAGTAGATATGGTATCGTAGCCCGGTGCGAGTGCGACCCTGGTTTGAAGAGGCCCCCAAAAACACACAATTAACACACCCACCGTAGGATTATTTTTCAAGCACATATCACCACGGCCTCATATGCGGTCGATGTGCCATAGGCTAAAACTCGAAAATGACCCTAGAGCTTTTGCTCGATAAAAATCTTGGATCGTTGAAGAGAGCGACGAAGGGATACTGATATTCAAGCAAATATTAGAGGCGACCGAGCTGAGGAAATGGGACAGTCAGCCTTCGGGCCCCAGTACACTGTGTCGACATGGAAGGACTACTCCTACTAGGTACCGATGTGTTATGTGATGGATTATGGTGAAGCGCCCTGCGCTGAAGGAGTGTCAATCCTACCTCTGTGTGCAAGGTAGCGACCGGCTGGAAAAGGTCTCGTCAAAATAAAAACACAGTTGAGCAAAGGCGGCGGAGGCATATGAATGGTATCGCGTGTAGAAAAAAGGGTGGAGCCTCAGCCTTGAAGTGTGGCAGATTGACGATTGAAGTTGGTTCGTGCTATCCCGTCATCCCTTCTCCAGTCGAAAGCCGCTGGACCCATCTGCTGGGTCGTGTTTGGCAGGCGGCGTCACAGCGGGAAAGAGCTCGCACGAGTCTGCGCGTCTTGATAAGCGATCGATGCGGGCGCTCGGGCCAGGGCTGTAAGTGAGAGTGGTTTGTGCGAACGATACCGCGGCCAGCTATTGGTCACTTGGGTTGTTGGGGTCCTTGGGCACCGAACAGGCCCCCACAAAAGTGGAGAATTTTGAGGATTTTTTTTTGGCGGCAGCCCAAGCAGGCGCGCAGCGAAAGCGCAGGCCACCCACTGGACCTAGAGAACGCGGGATCCGCATATCGCAACCTCGCACTGGCTACCTGGTCGGCTGCCACATGAGACCCGAACCTAGGTGGACTGGAGCCCTCCACACATCACCGCCGCCATCCCGCATCGAGCATTGGCATTTCGGCATCGTTTCCCGCCTAGCACCGCAAACGCCGACGCCCGCCCGCCTGCTGCCGTCCTGATCACTCCGCATTCCGCGATTGAGCCCACGACCCTGCTGGCCCGCGGGGACCGTGGTGCGCATGGCCTAGGCACCGATTCCTGCACGACGTCACACACAACACACACGTACAACACGCGCGCACATTCTCGTGCCGACGCCCGCTGCCCGAAATAATCTGCCGCCGCAACAAGCGTCCCTCGCCTGCCCGACTGTTTGTATCGCCGCCCGCCCGACTCGCGTCCGACGGCCCCGACGCCTCGAATCCCCCTTCGGCTCGCGGCGCATCAACCGGCGCGCGCGCGCGACGGCCCTGGTCAAGGTGGCGACCGTCGCTCTGATCCGCTGCCGCCCCGACGCCGAGCTGTCGCTGCAGCAGCACCTGGAGCTCGCCCCCAATCTCGTCCACTCTCCCACTGCCGTCGCCGAGGAGGAAGGCGCGCAGCCGATGATGGCACAACCCGTGCCTCATCCACCGACCGACAAAAGGCGCGTCAAGGTCTACGAGCTCCGTAACAATGACTGGTTCGACCGAGGCACCGGCTTCTGTACCGCCTCCTACATCTCGGTATGTGACCGCGCCCTCTTTATCGCTGTTGACTGGCAACAGACAACGCGACATGGCCACCGTCGAGCTGCCGGCACGAGCGCGTGCCGCCGAGCTTTGCGACCTCGTACCACATGCCCGCTTTGTGCGGTGATGGCGCGTCGTGAATAGTGGAGTCCGACACGGACTTCTTTCTGCATAGCCCTCGGGAAGCATTCCGCATTGTCGCGAACTGTTGCTAATACTCGCGTGCGTTGGCTTCCGGGCACCATAGAACTCTGACAGCGACAGCCCAAAGGAACCGAGGGTCGTAGTCGAGTCGGAAGACCATCCGGAACGGGTCTTATTAGAGACCCGGATCTGTAAAGAAGATGGCTTCCAGAAACAACAAGGCATGGCGCAACCTACCCCTCCTGGTCTGCGCCGCGTTTGCGCGCCAGCGTGTGGGATTTCTACTAACGCGCGCTCTTCCTTATCCATAGACACACTCATCGTGTGGACGGAGCCCACGAACGGGATAGACATGGCTTTGAGCTTCCAAGAGGCCGAAGGATGCCTGTTGATATGGTTCGTAACGTCTTTTGCCACCCGCTCGCCTGGCTTGAGGCGGATGTTGGCGCCGCTGCTAACACGAGGAACTCCTACAGGAAATTTATCCACAGCGTCCAGACCTCCTTTACTAACTCTATGGGTCCTCACGGTATTTCACGACCCTTGTTTTCTGTCGCTCTCTCAACACTCGACTGTTTCAATGCTGACCTAACCGACTGTCTGTCGCCCAATAGATGACAGCCTCTCCGACGACCTTGCTCTTGAGCTTCCGAACCCCATCTCGCTACCCCCACCCGATCTCGCAAGCCTCGCCGAACTGGAGCAATCGATCCGCATCATGAGCTCGAGTGCCACGGGCAGGGAAGCGCTGACAAAGTGCATAATCATGGAGGACTACATCGCCCGGCTGATCCCGCTCGTGGAGATGGCAGAAGACCTGGAGAGTTTGGCCGACCTCCACCGGCTGTGCAATATAATGAAGTCTATTCTCCTGCTTAACGACACAGGAATCATTGAGCACGCCGTCTCGGACGAGTGCGTCCTAGGTGTCGTCGGCGCTCTCGAGTACGACCCCGACTTCCCGAGCCACAAGGCGAACCATCGCCAGTGGCTTAGCAATCAGGGCCGGTATAAAGAGGTGGTCAAGATTCAGGACGACCTCGTCAGGAGAAAGATACACCAAACCTACCGGCTGCAGTACCTCAAGGACGTTGTCCTGGCCAGGATCTTGGACGATCCCACCTTCTCCGTTCTCAACTCGCTCATCTTCTTCAACCAGGTGGACATTGTGCAGCATCTACAGTCCACCCCCGAATTCCTCAAAGACCTGTTCGGCATATTCACCGACGACACGGCGGAGCAGCTGCGTCAAAAGGAAGCTGTGCTCTTCATCCAACAGTGCTGCGCTATAGCAAAGAATCTGCAGGTGCCAGCGAGACAGAACCTGTACAACAACTTCCTGACCCACGGCCTGCTCCAGGTCGTCAACTTTGGCCTTCGGAATCCGGACGTGTCGGTGAGGGTGGGGGCAACGGATATCCTGGTGTCTATGATAGACAACGACCCGCAGATGATTCGTCAGACGACATACCGCCAGCAGCGCGAGAACCAGCCGCCCCTGACGGACACGCTTATCGACTTGCTGCTCGTTGAGGTCGACCTCGGTATCAAGTCGCAGATCTCGGACGCCCTCAAAGTGCTGCTCGACCCGAATCCCCCGGGGCCACCACCCGAGGCCGTCCATAAGGTGAACGGCGAGGTAGTGGCTAGGCGCCCGCCTCAGTCGGATCCTCAGCAGGAGCTGTTTCTGCAACACTTCTACCAGAATGGCGTTCCCAGGTTATTCAAGCCACTCACCAGCTTGCGCGGCCAGACAGACCTGGAATTCTCCGTGACCAACGATGGCATCTTTGGCTATCTCAACGAGATTCTTTGCTTTTACATTCGGCAGCACCCGGGTCTGTGCAAGTTGTTCATTGTGAACCACAACATCACCCAGCGGTTTATGCAGTTGATGGTGTGTCGAAACAAACATCTGCAGCTCGGTAGGTGCCACCCTCGAGTCCCTGTCTGTCTCTGCGCCTGCTAACCTGTCTATCCTAGTTGCGCTACGATACTTCCGTCAGCTCGTACTCCTCAAGGACACATTCTGGCACACGCAACTGACTAACAATTTCGTGTTTGCGCCGGTACTGGATGTTTTGACGCAAACACTGCCTCGGGACAACCTGCTATGCTCTGCTATCCTGGAGCTCTTCGATCTGGTTGGCAATGAGGACTATAGGGAGTTGACCAAGCACGTCATGTTCACGCTCGGGAATAGGATCCAAGCTCTGTCGTACATGAACCCGTTCCGAGCCATCATCCAGGCCTATGAGCAGACACGGGGCTTCGCCGTGAAGCCTGCTCCTGCTCCTGCGCCCGCCGGCCAGCCACAAGGACAGCCCCAGCCCCAGACACAAGGCTATTCCGCCGCCATGGACACATACTTGATGAACAGCGAGGACGACATAGTGGCGGCAAGGCGACGGGCAGCCTCGACTATGAGGGGAATAGGCGAGCACATTACAGTTGATCCCGAAGAGGAGGCGTTTTGGGACGCCAACGATGACGAGGACGAAGCGCAGATTCGAGCATCTGCCACCGGAAACCAGCCATCCAAGCCCCTGGTGGACTATGCTTCGGACGAGGAAGGGGACGAGAATGTGGACACGGAGATGACACCGGCCATCATCACAGCACAAGAGGAGGGAGCAAAGCTGGCGGTCGCTGCTGAGGGAGAGGAGGTAGCGCATAGCGACTCGGCAGGTCAGCCCGCTCCACCAGTGGAGCGCATATCCGAAAAGAGGCGGCGTGAAGAGGACGAGGAAGACGAGCTTGGAAAGTTGCTGCAGACCAGCAAGCGCCGCAACAGCAGCTCGGCCAGCATGAGCTCGACGGGCTCGACTGGGCTTCGTAAAAAGATGGGTATGGGTGGCAGCGGGCGCGAATCCCCAAACGGCGCAAGCAAAAAGATTGCCATTTCCATCTCATCGTCGCTGAAGCTCGCCGCCGGGCAGACCGCCGCAGACGACGCCGGGCAGTGAACCGGCCGGCCGACAGCTCGCTCCTTTTGGGCAGTCGCGTCAGGCCCTCCCTTTCCCCGTCTCATCCAGCTCTGTTTCTTTGCTCCTGCCGAGCCAGAGCTTTGGGCTGCTTCCTCGAACTGGCCGGATTTTCAGCTCGTCTTGGAAGCCGAGGATATCTATCCCCTCATCCAGGAGGCCACCGCAGTTCCGTTTCTTTCCATATCGCGCTGCCACTTGCTCTGTCCCGTTCTGAATGCCGGTATGACTTTTTCGCGAAATCACATTTTGCTGACACAGGCGGCGTTTGGTTCTCAATACTCCTTATCCTCCCATCTCTCTCTCTCCTTCAGTGGTATTCTGGGCTGGGCCGGGCGAAATCTAGGATGTCTTTGTATCATCATTATCCCTGAAGCGGGGGCGCGCGTCGAGCGCGTGCAAGTGTGTGCTGTGTGGGCGTTGGCGCGTTCTGGTCGAGGTCGGGCTTGCGACGCCTCCATCTCTATGCCTATATATATATAAATATGTCAGCCATGGGATAAAGTTTCGAGGACAGGCATTTCCCGCGTTTTCCTTCTTGGTGACTGGACTGTTGTGCATCATCTGCCATGCCGCCCAGCTTGGATGTTGTCGCGCATTGGTGGGTGACGCTGGTGGTGTATGCCTTGGGGGGG